CAGCTGCGAAAGTGCAAATGAACGAGATAAGATATAGGTAAAATCATCGAAACTAGTCCTGTGAAAATTTGGAAAATATAACACTGGTTTTTGTTGTTTGACTTCTAAATTAATATTTGTTCGTCAGGCTATTGTATCTTAAAACAATGGTACCTTGAGCCATCAAATTTTGAATAACGTACGTCTTCACTTGAATATGGTCATTTGAAAACCTAAATTTAGAATTTGTTTTATTATCTATTTCATGTTTTGTATTTATGAGTTTTTTGATTAAGAAACTGATGATTTAAAGCGAGCAATGGCTTATTTTATTATTTTTTTCCATGTTGCTGCAAAAGAAATTAGTAAGGATTTTATTCTATACCAATTGTATAGGACATATTTGGTACCTGTATAGTAAATATTGTTACAGGATGAGCTTTTAAATATTAAACAAACAAAGCATGTTGTGCATCCCATCGAGCAGCACTTATCTTAAATTGGCTGTCTTATATGCAGTAATTGATTGTCATTGATTTCACTTCAGTGGAATTATTCATGAAATGAGTTATGAAATTTAGTTTTTCATGTAAAATTGAACCTAGGTATATAAAATCGGGATACTCTTTGCATTATCCGCCCAACCTTTTTGGCGACTAAATTTTCACCTGCACAACACATGGAAAACAGTAGCCATTTTAAGAAAAGGTACTTGCGTGTTATCACAACCACCTTAGCTGAAGCTGCCAATTTTGACAATCATTCACATAACCATTCTTTAAGCAATCATGTTCATAACAGTCGTTCACTCAAACCAAGGGTATCATATTCATGCACGTTCTTTTTATATTTCAAGTTCCAACTATTTTTATAAACAAATCGTGCAACTTATTGCCTTAAACCTAATTTTAAAAATATGAGCTTGACGAGATTGCAGTAAATATGTACAGTAATGCTGAATTTTACTCTACAATTTCTAAATGGGACAACAATGAGATGTGTTTATTACTTAGGTTTGAGTGATGCTGCGTCTGCAGTTCTCTGATCTCCCCCCCCCCCAATTGAAAGCATAGCTTATTTGGGCAGAAGAAAAGTGGAAAAAAAAATAGAAGGATTTGGAGAAGAATGTGATTGTCAGTGTGTTGCATAATACATATTTATTAGGTTAATCTTTGGATTATGGTAACTTGGCGATTTTTGGCGAAAATTTGGCAACCAACCCTGCTACAGCAACCTTCTACTTTTTTTTTTGGCGCTATTTTGTCTTCACGAAGTAAAGTAAAGACATGTTTTTTTTTTTTTTTTTTTTTAATTTACTCAAACATTTTTTCCAACAATCTGCTAGCCGAATTACGCTTATGCTAGAAATTTTATGGAACAAAAGTGCTTAATCATGACGAATATTAACTGCAAAATTGGGGAAAGAGAAAGTGCAGAATCGCAAACTCCTTGCTGCGTTTTTCAGAATGGCACATACACGGTAACCATGTACACGTCGATCTATTTTTACTTAAAAAAAATCATCCCAGAATTGCACAAAAATGGCATTGCACACACACTCTTTATCCATGTACACTGCTTTTTTCTCATAAATTAGAAAAATTTGCACAAAAAAAATGCAGGAAAATTTTGTGAATCTTTAAGTCGGTATTAAAAAGGACATATGTGAAAATTACCTGATCGCCAAAAAGTATGTACCCTTTCCAAGGATGAACATTTGCACGTATAAAAAATAAATAAAATATCCAAAAACTTTTCAGTTAATCTTTGGATTATGGTAACTTGGCAATTTTTTTGTGAAAGTTTGGCGACCAACCCTGCTATAGTAAACTGCTAGTTTTTGTTTGGACGCCATTTTGTTTTCACAAAGTAAAGGCTTTTTTTTTTCTCCCCCTTCAACATTTTTTCCAACAATCTGCTAGCCGAATTACACTTATGCTAGAACTTTTATGGAACAAAAGTGCTTAATCATTGCGAAATTGGGAGAAAGTGCAGAATCGCAAACTGCTTGCCGTGTTTTTAATAATTGCACATACACGGTGTTCCATGTTTTCCTATTTTCATTTAAAAAACAAAATCTCAGATTTTGCACAAAAATGTCTTTTGCGCACGCTCTTTATTTTATCCATGTACACTGCTAAAGTCCTAGCTAGTAACCTTTATCGCCTTACCAAAATGTCGCCAAACTACCTGTTACCATATTCCAAAGGTTAGCCAACTTTTCCCTGTAAATTATCTATTATAAACGTCACCTGCGAATTTATAACGCAAGCATTAAAAAATGGTTGCAAATACTTAGTGTCAAATATTTAAATTATTTCGATGCACGTTTACTTCTACTGAAACATATTTCAAAAATGCTACAAACATATAATTTACAAAATAACTATCATTTAATTAAAATATAATTAAATTAATTAAAAGAAAGTGCAGAGAATCGCAAACTCCTTGTCGCATTTTTAAGAATGGGCACATACACGGTAACCATGTACACGTCGACCTATTTTCACTTAAAAAAAAAAATCCTAGAATTTGCACAAAAATGGCATTGCGCACACTCTTGACTTATCCATGTACACTACTTTTTTCTCATAAATTTGAAAATTTTGTGAATCTTTAAAGTCTGTTGTAAAAAGGACATATATGAAATTACCTGATCGCCAAAAAGTATATACCCTTTCCAAGGATGAACATTTGCACATATAAAATAAATAAAATGTCCAAAAACTTTTCCCTCTAAATTATCTATTATAAACGTCACCCTGCGAATTTATAACGCAAACATTAAAAATGGTTTGCAAATACTTAGTATCAAATATTTTAAATTATTGCCATGCACGTTTACTTCTACTGAAATGTATTCCAAAATGCTACAAACATATAATTCACAAAATCACTATCATTTAATTAAAATATAATTAAATTAAAAAAACACTACTTAAAAATATAAATAAACACATACATTAAATGAATAAAAATTAGCTCACAATCCTAATTACTTTAAACTAATTCATTGCTAATAACAATTTTCCAATAATAGCATATTAATTTATTTATTCCTCATATTTAGAACAATGCATAAAAATAATATCCTCAAATGATTAAAAATACTAACTTACCTAATCTTCTTCAGAATCTCAATCGTATTCATTCGTATGTGCGCATGTTTCAGGATCTTTAAAATGATACTTATGGTTAACAGCAAGATGATGAAAACCTTCATCCTCCAAACAGGCATATGACTTCTAGCAATCAGATATTATTATTGTACCAGGTAGAATATACTGCTTAATAAAACTTAATAAGCAATCTTTACTTCTATCTCACACAACCTTCAAAAAACACTTATCACTACCCCTTTCAATCCCACTAAATACCCATTTCGAATTCACTTTAGATAGGGCCATGGGATCCAAAAATTAAATAACACTGTTTCACACAAAACAAAATGAAGCTAAATACAAAATGCTATAAAGTACTGCAGATATTTTTCCATATTCCCCTCTTTTTCTGATTAAAGAACTGTGATTCGTCCATATATGTCACATGACATATGTCATGATCTCTCATTTCTCTCAGACAAAATAATCCGTAATTGGAACTGGGTATTTCTCACATTATTGCCAAAGTCCTAGGTAGTAACCTTTATCGCCTACCAAAATTTTGCCAAACTGCCTGTTGCCATATTCCAAAGATTAGCCATTTATTAATTAAAATCTGTATTTTAAATTGCTGAAGTATGTTTTCTTTAATCTATGCCAACTTACAATAAATATTGCTAGTTTAAGAATTTGGAAAAAAAAAAAAAAAAAAAAACCTAAGATTTTGGATTTTAAATTACTTCCAAAGGTGTGCTTTTAACATTTTGTGTATTACCTTTATTTATTAAATATCATGTTCTTTACACATGAACCATAAAAATGTTTTTTTCTGGATAATATTGCTATTGCTCGCTTTGAAATCCTCAAGTTTGTTAATTAAAAAAATTGTTAAAGTTTTACAAAATATGAAATCGATAATGAAACAAATTCCAGATTTAAAATCTGGGCTTCCAGATGCCCGTATTCGCAGGAGGATTACTTTATTCCAAATTTGTTGACTCTTGGTACCGTTGCTTTATCACAATGCGAGAAACATACATACATTTATACAAATTCTTCATTATTTGATTTCTGAAATATAATACAGAGCACTAATATTTGGTGGCAACAGTTTGAAAAATGAAGCAGACATTCAGAGTAACCAGAGTGAATTAAAAAAAAGTGAAAACTGCCAATTGGCACCCAAGAAGTAATTTTTGCTCTTTAATCTGTACAAAATCACCAAGATAGTTGCATCAGTATATGAATCTAATAAAATTGCAGCATGCTGAAAATTACATAAAACAATACAAATTAACTAAATTTAATAAAACACAACTTGTTATTTCCTTGGTCTTCTCCCTGTGTTTCAAAAAAGGGGAGATCAGAATTGTAGAACAAACTGGCACTGTTACATATGTTTTAAATTAATATTGAGCTGTTCTAACTTCAGAAAAATTTTTAAAGAACTTCACAAATTAATTCCATTGAATTTGCATTCCTGCACTCTTGTAGTAGGCAAAAAGCCATATTTCTGGGAGGGGATGTAACACTTTCATTATCAGGCAATTCATTTAAAAAAACATTAACTCAAATTTCAAAACCGCACAAATTACTAGATAGATGGTGCACTGGTGTAATGTCAGCCATTAGTGCATTGTCAGATCAATACATTTTTGCTGAATTCTGGCTTACCTTCTTTGGTGATACAGCACTTTGTCCAATGATTCTTGTAAAGTTTGGGTGGACAATGCAAGAGAACCAAAACCTCTTCTCTCTCTCTCTCTCTCTCTCTCTCTCTCTCTTTTTTTTTTTTTTTTTTTTTTTTTTTTTTAGTGAATAAAGTAGCAGTTCTTAAAAAAGTAAATTTGTCATTCTGAAAGTATTTTTGAAATTTTTATAGCATGTATTCATTTTCTAACATACTAAAAATTTTATTAGGAAGAGACATCTGGAAAAGAACAAAGAACTACAAACCAGTTTTTGCTGTTCTGTGATTTAATTCTGAAATATGAAAAATACAAACCTCATAAAGAAGTAAGATGCATTACTGTAATTTTTGTATGATTTTATTTCCTAAAATTTGTATTTTCTTATTTTATAAGAAAATTGGTATATTATAGTTCATCACTTTTTCTATTGTATTTTGTACTTAAGTTTGCTAATTTAAAAAGGAATTTGTTAAATTAAGTATTTTAGCAAAATATTTTTACATGAAATTTTTTATGTTGTGGTTTTAAAATTATTGGTTTTGAATTCCTGTATGTAATTTTATAAAGTTAAATATATTGTAGTTATTAATATGTATCTGGCTGTCTTTCACAAGAATTACTATCTTTACTAGAAATGCTTACTATTATAAAGTCCCAATCACATTATGTTTCAGCTGTGCGGGGCTTGATGTCGAAAGGGACAATTCTCAGAACCCGCACAATTCCAGGAAACACACGTAGCTAGATTGTAATTCTCACTTACTACAAAGACTTAAAACGTCAAACAGTAATCGATTATCGCTTAAATCGGGATCACGTGATCCTTCAGAAGCAGAACTTTCGTCTGATTGGTTGTCTCTGCCGGGGACCCGAGACATTTTCGGTGAGGTTTGAAAAAATCCCACGTAACCGCAACATTTCTTCCGTAGCTACGCGGGACTTCCCGTCGGGCGGGCTCTTTTTTTCTAAGTCCCACCTAGCAGGGACTGTAGCCATGTGTGATAACCTCTTAACAGACCTTACTCATTTCAAATAAGGATGAGCCAAGTGAAAAATGGTGGTAGTCGTGTGTTTTCAGCAAATGTTGGTCACAAGAAAGACAAAATAATGTTATAATGAGTATTTTTACTGTAACCAAAAATAATATAGATTTATAAATATATATATTCCAAATGCATTATAAAGTGCATCAAGATGGCAAATTTGAAATTCTTCAATAATTTCTTGAAGTTATTTCTATGAAAAGGGGCTTATTTCTGTGTCAACAGCTTGTTGTAGATGAGGGCTCTTGTGATAGACAGTGTATTAATGTAAGTTACATTAATTTATTGTTTGTAACTCCCAGTTAAATGCATTTTTACATAGCAGGTTGCTCTTCATTCACGTTTCAAAGAAGTAAATTTGAAATTACCTTAGTTGTGTATTTTCATATTTAAAAATATAATTTTTCTTTGCATTATGTTAAACAGCAGCTGTCATGTTGTGATCCATGGAGCCCTGACTGTCCTCAGAGCTTTTCATGGTATGGTCTCCATCCTAGTGGTGTGTACACATCACTTTTCTAAAGTTACTTCTTTTTTCAGAAGTCGTAGAATAAACATTAAAATATCACTTTTGGTTTTAAGTTGTTTAGTAAGATAATGTTTATCAAATGTAACTGAATATAATTTGCATTTTTAATAATATATGCAGATAAGCAGCATTTTTTAATAGTAGTTCATGAATGTTACTATACTATATGTATCTTTTGGTTTTAGCATTTTTTACCCCCAATGTTAAACTTTTGTTTTTATATATGATTTATTTGTACAAGGAATGTTTTTGTTTAGTGTTTATGAAACAGCAAGAGAAATTTATTCGTCCTTCTCTTTAAAATGTGCGAGAAAGTACTAATTTACCTTATTATTTAAATCGTGTTAGACATTTATTTCAACGTCATTAACCTCATTGTTAGCTGGATTTGAATAAAAATGGAAAGGAGAGTATTTTTACTTTAAAAGCAAAATTTGATTTTATTCTTCTGCTGCCAGCTCTATAATGTGACATAAAATTAGACTTTAAAAGAGAGTACATTGCACTTTTCAGTTATTAATAATGAGAGAAAAACATAAAATATTTGAATGTATTAATAGGCAGGTTAATGCTTGTCATTTTAACAAAATATAGATGTCATTTAAACTACAGCACACACACACGCATATATATTAAACTGTATATATGTATTGTATTAACTGTATATATATACAGTAAAACAAATCATTCAGCTCATTTTCTGTATTCTATCTTAAATGAATATTCTGAGATCAGTATAATTTGATATTGAAACATTTCAGTTAAACAATAAATTCTTCAAAGAATTCGTAGATAAATATTTTTAAAAGTAATCACTTAAAATGTTATTAAAATGATCATTTTAAGGTTCTTATTTACAACTCAGGTAAAAGTATTAGAAAATGCTGAGGTCAGATCTGAAAAATTATTAGTGGAGAAGTACGTAAATCTTAATTGACGTCTTTTACAACACATCAGTTAGCATGCAGAGAAATATTCATTTATTTAAAAACTGCTTGGTTTCATGTTTATTTAACATTGTATTAAATTTTGAAGTTGGTGACAGTGATTTACTTTTAAGACTTATTTTATGAAGGATTAATTCCAAATGTTCCAGAATTGTCACAAATATGTATTTTGAATCAAGTAATGTAACTTAGAATAGTAATATATTTACACATTTTTATTACAGTTTACATACAGTTTAAAGAACTTTATTTACTTAATGCATGTATTGATATGATATTTTAAAACATAATAAATGTTTAAATATTTTAACTATTCGTACTGTTTAAGAACATTTTATATACATAATGTATGTTAGACAGCGGAAGTCTAAAAAAATTCTTTTATATTAAAATGAAACTTAATTTGCATTTTTATAAATTAATGAGGTTTAATATTTGAGTTTTTGTATTTCATTTTGTAAGTATGTGAGAAGACATCAAAATGATTTATGGAAGAGTTGCACTGGTATATCTTTAATTTCATGCAGTAAAGCATGATTCATAATTCTTTCTATGGATTTGAATGTTTCTAGTATAACTGTAACAAATGTAGCAAAAAGATGCATAACTATACATAAAGAATATTTGCACTTTTATACTGATAATAGCCAATATCACTTAGCTGTAAATTTAGCCACTTGGTAACATATATGATTAGGCATAAAGTAAGCATACCATTTACTGAGGAACATAAAGCTGAACTACATCTAACAATTTGCTGTCTATGAGTCGATTGTGGCAGTACCCATCCTGTGAAATATTAGATACAAACATCCACAAGCAAAGCAATTTTTTTACAATGTTGCAAGCTCTAGGAAATGGTTAATTGTTTACTAGTTTATTTACTTATTTTTATTCAACAGGCTAATTAAAGTGTCTTCAGAAAGGCCTAAGTGATGAAAATAATTTACGAAGCCTATTTTATGACAGTTTACATTTATTAAATAACCAATGTATGGAAGCTTTTCTTCAGATAAAAAAAATAATATTCAATTCAATAAATGGATTTCCCATGGCTGTTGTGTTTTTCAGTGTCCGTCTTCTCATCAGCTCTCCTGCTACTTATCAGTAGTCAGTTTACAAATGATGGTATTTTGAAAGAATATATGAGCAGTTGACTAAACAGTGCCATTTGCTGAGAAAAGGCTCTTCATTGCTGTATGATTGCAGTTTGTGTAACCAATCCCTTCCAAAATTGTGCACGTACTAATTTGAATCACGTCTTTGATATTACTTAGACCAGGGGTTCTCAGCTGAGGGAATTGCCCCTTGGAGTTTTCATAATTTCAGGGACACTGAGTTCTATTTAGCTTTTAAGTATTTAGCAATAGTTTATTATTATAAAAACTACTTTTATTCAAGATTTGGTATTGAACATTTTCTATACTTTTTGGTATTTAATTTGTAAAATAACACTAGAAATATTCTAAATTTAAATGTGTACATGTATTTTTTGAGTTTTAGAAATACTAACATTCATAAATTTTCTTATGTAAAAAAAGATCTAGGAATAAACTATTGGAAATTTTTCTATATCAAAGGCTTTGCTGCAAGAGAGTGAATTAAAAAAAGTAAAGAAGTGTGTTTCCATGTTTAATTCTGAATTTTTTTCCAAGAATAAGATTCTAAATTAAGCTCCAAAGGTTTCTATTTCCAGAGGTAATGATTTGGAATTAATACTAAATCTGATTTTGGGTATGATATATACTGCTCAAAGCTAAAAATAAAACTAAGAATGACTGCTTCTGGTAATGAGATCTTCCTGAGAAAATTCTTCTGGTAATGAGAAGTTTATAGCTGCTTTTTTCTGATTTAATTTTAATATTTTTCTAAAAGTTTTTAAGCTATTAAAATGTATTTAGGTAATAGAATGCTAGAAATTTTTATCTGTTCGTTTCTTTTTTTAACAAACTTAAATCAATCAAAATTATTTTTCTATATATCAAACTGAAGGTGGGAAAGGAATTACTTTGGAGAATTACTGTTTATAATTGTAATGGACTATGTAATGAAATTACTTGAGTTTTTTTCTCTCTGAAAATGATTATAATTTCTTTGCGTTACATTTATTGATAAAAGATATATATAAATCAATCTGGAAATTTTAAATTTTTACTTACGAGCTGTCAAATTTATATATTACTTACTAATTAATGTCTTAAAAATTAATGCATAATGAATTGAAAGTTATCTATTTTTCAAATGAAATCTTGCTTTGTGTATTAATCTTGCTAAAATTATGCATAAATTAAAATAATTTCTAAAGCTTACATCATTTGTTCCGTGTATGTATTATATTTGTATTTCATTGCTCTAGATGAAAGGGGCTGCCTTTTCTGCAGCTCTGTGGTTGAATATTCAGGTATTGTTTTTAAACCTTCGTTTATCTTTATGCAGTATCTTCATAGAGCTTTGTCAATTGTATTTACATTCATACGTTTGTCATGGAATTTTCCGTGTGCTTTTATATTATTTCAAAATCTCTTGCTTCAAAATACTTATTGAAAACAATCTTTGTTGGAAATATGGTATAAAAACTGTAACATTTTGCACTTTCCTCCCCTTATCCTAGAATTTTGCAAAGGATTATATTACTGTTATATTAGTCTGCTGAAGGAATTATTACATATGATTATCATTGTTTAATGCATTCTAAGTAATATGTGGATAATAGAGTACGAGGCTTCACCATTCCGAATTTACGTCATCAGTTTAAATCTAGTAAAATGACATCTAGAAATTATAAAAATATGAAATAATGAAGCATTTATGACACTGAGGGATCTAAATTTACAAGAACAAGCAGAAGAAAAGCTCAGTATTTATTTGCTTTATTAAGCATTTCTTTCATCTTGCTTTGTTTTTTTATGCTGACACTTTTTGTGTAATTTTACAGATTTAATTTCTTGTTCAGTTGCAAAGTTCCGTTATTCAGTTCCTGTAATTGCTGCATCGAGAAATTTCACTCAGTGTTTTTTTTTTTTCCCCCTCAGCAGATTCTCTATCATTTTTTTCACTATTGATTGGTAATATTATTTTCTGAATCTAGGCTAATATTGCACATTTTGTGATCCATTAGTTGATTGGTTATTGGGGCATTGTCATCGCAATAGAAAACTTCTGTTATACCATTTTCATTTACTGTATTTCACTTCTCTGTATTTCCTTTCAAATTGCGTTATAATACAAAGTCCGACATCTGGAATGATCCAAAAATCTGGACCTCAAAGCCACCACCAGCTCCTCTCTCTTTTTTTTTTTTTTTTTTTTTTTTTTTTTTTTTTTTTTTTATGCTTTATGCATGCACATTTTATTTCCCCTGTCTGTATATAATAAAACATGTGGAGAGTCCCAATTTTTAATTTCACTTCGGCACTAAATAAAATACCTTGCTATTGAGGAAAAAATGTAGCATAAATTTGTATGATCAGTAATTTGGCTCTGTTGCTGCGTATCTGCTTCGCATACGTGTCAAATCGACACATTCTACATAGACACATCATTAATTTTACACCTACTAATGTTTTATATCACTGATGCCAACCTGGTGAATCATTAGTTATTATATTTTGCTTTCATCACCACATGTTTATCAATACAACTTGAGTAATGGCTCATGTAGCAATACCTAAGCAATTTTTTATGTTAGTAATTGAATAATAAAGAGTATGGTAACCTTTTGTGTTGTCATTTCACTTGGCGATGATTACAAATTTAAGTTAAATGCGCTAAGAAATGTTGACAAAAAATTTAACAAGAATTTCTTTCCATATGCTAAAAATAGATTTTGTTAAATGATACTCATAGACCAAAAGATTACATTTAGTGCTACAGTCAAAAGTTGTTAATCCGGACTCGTCGGGACTTCAGCGATTCCGGATTATCGATTTTTCTCCCGGATTATAGATCATCAGTTTAAATCTTGTAAGATGGCATGCAGAAATTCTAAAATTAAAAATATGAAACCGTAATTTATGAAATAAAGAACAATTATGATCTAAAGGGTATCAAAATTTACAAAAAAAAAAAAAGCTTAATATTTATTTGTTTACTTTATTAAACATTTCTTTCAATGTAAGTTGTTTAAGTTGCTTCGTTTTATGTGATAATACTTTCTCTTTAATTCTATAAACAGACATAATTTCTTGTTCAGTTACAAAGTTCCGCTGTTCAAGTCCCGTTAATTGCTGTGCCGAGAATACCGACTAACTTGTCAATCGAAATTTTTTCGTTTTCACTAACCTCTCTGTCACATTCTTCATGTCTTTATCCATTTTTTGCAGCAATTCCACTTTTTGTTTGATGGACATCGAAACATACTTTCGTTTTGTAGATCCTTTGGGAGCTCCAGCATCGGAAATTCTATTTGACATAATCGAAAGTTCAAGTTTACTTTTATAAAATTGCTCTTACAGTCTGCAAAAAATAATAAGCCGGATCCAATTCGAAGATTAAGGAACAACGCAATCATCAACATTAACTGAAATAGATAATTTTAGCTTATACCGTCCATTATACATAAAACGCGCACGCGAAAACGTATTCTGCGCACACGCATATGCGGAGTTGTAAAAGGTCTTGCGCGCACGCTTAAACGCCCATGCGCATGTGTCAACGCGGCGCATGCGCAGAAAGTTTTTAGCTTTGAGGTCCAGATTATAGATCATTCCGGATTATGGGTGTCCAAATTAATGACTTTTGACTGTATTTGGATTAAGAATAACTGATTTGTTATTTACATAAACCTAGAACCAGTGCCAGGGCTCATATGGCTACACAGGGCAGCAGAATTTAGGGAAGGCAAAGTTTTTAGAATTTAGGGAAAGCACTGGGATCCAAAATTAAGGAGCGGCAAAGATTTAGAACTTGGAGAGGTGCTTGGAGGCAGAATTCAGGACCCACGAAGACTGCATCAGGCTCTAACGCCAGCCCTCAATAAGTGGGAATTTATTAATTCAGGACTTGGATAAGCCTTAAGAATGTGCAAGAAATAGCAATAAGTATAATAAATAACTAAACTAATACAATTCAGGCTTAATTGTCTCAATGTGAGACATAAGCAAGATAAAATTTAGTGGAACAACTTGTCGTTAGTCGCCAATACATAGCTACATATGTATAGTGAACGATAGCTAAATTTTATAATGATAGCCGCAAATTTTAAAGATTTTTGGATATCGTAAACTAAAGGTGAAATTTTCCAATTAACAGACGTTTGTAAAGAAATGTGGAGAAGCAGTAATAAATGAAGATGATATAAAAGAAGTTTTCATTGTGATGATAATGCTTCTCAATCGTCAATCAATAAATGGGTGGTGAAATCTGTACTGTGATTCTAGGTCCAGAAAATGGCAGAGGTTCCTAAAAACGAAAAAACTTCGATTGACAAGTTAGTCAGAATTCTTGACACAGCAATTACAGGACTTCAACAGTGTAACTGGACAAGAAATTATGTCTGTCTACAGAATTAAAGAAGAAACACAAAAAACTAAGCAACTTAAACAACTTGCATTGAAAGAAATGTTTAATAAACAAATATTAAGCTTTTTTTTTGTTTTGTAAATTTTGATACCTTTTAAATAAATGCTTCATTATTTCATAAATCATTTTCATATTTATAATTTTTACATACCATTTTACTAATTTTAAACTGATGATCTAATATCTGGAAAAATCCGGAATACCGGAAGTCCCGAGGAGTCCGAATCTCGGACTTTGTACTGTAATAGGAAAACTTTGCATTTTTTCCACCCATACCTGAAAACTTGCAAATGGGCAGCTATCACCATAAAGCTTAATTAACATTGCCGTACAGCTGTTGACTATCTATCATGAGATTGGCAACTAAATACTTATCATTTTGCTGGATATAGTCTTACTTTTATTGTGTGCAGAGGAAGATAAGCTTGAATTATATAAACATAGTTATTTATTATACTTGCTTCTCTTTCTTGCACATTATTAATGCTTATCCAGAGCTCATATAGACATTTTGCACCCCAGTGCAGTATCTTCGGGTTCTTAATTTTGCTCTCAAGAGCCACTCTTGAATTCTGAAAACTTTTATGTCTTGATACCATCCTTTAATAATAATGTTGTTTAGTGCTTTTATAAGTTCTAAATATTTTGCTTCAGGGCTTATCTAAATAACAAATCATTTGTTATTAATTCAAACAGCATTAAATGTAATCTATTTGTACATGAGTATCATTAACAAAATATATATTTTGCATATGGAAAGAAATTTGTATTAAATTTCTCCTAATCAACACTTCAGAGCACAGTTAGTTGAAATCTGTAATTATCACCAAACATGATGTCAGTGCAAAAGTCATAACCCATGGTGTTTGGTATTTATTTGCCAATTAAAGAGAAATTGTTTTAGACATCATTGCATGAGTGATTTTTAAAGTTGCCATTTGTTGATTGTCATGGCATATCATGTCATGATGGAAGGAAAAAAAAATAATTAAAAAAATGTTTTGTAGTTTTGGCATCAAGAATATGAAGTTATTCCGTAAGCGCAAAATCAGGGATGTTTCAATGTAGAATGTTTCGGTTTGAGATGTATGCCAAGCAAAGAGGCCACTAAGGAGCCAAATTACATACACATTTATGTCGATAAATGATTGTGGAGATGGAGGATTCATTTAGTGAAATGAAATTAAAAATCAGGACTCTCCACGTGTTATATGAAAAAATACCAAATGCGGCTGCATGAACTGTTAAGCAAACAAAAACATTTCTATTAAAAAGAAGTTGCTGTTGTTCAGGAACTCCTGTTTCTAAATCATTCCGGATATCTGGATTTCAGGCTTTGTACTATTTAAAAGAAGGCAATAAAGGTTCTTTTGAGCAGTAAATGTTTATTTGTTTTAAAAATCCGTTTCTTAGAAGGGCTGTGTTGGAAATGCTGTTGTCAATGTTGAGAACTTTTCTCAAAATTATTTGTATTATTGTAGGAGGAGTATGTCAGTCAGGTAGTTTTAGTGTTAACAGATTGATGTATTGTTAACCTTGTAGAATTTTCACATGGGATGTCAGTTGTTTGCGTAGGATACATACAAATCAGGATTGGAAAATTTCTTCCACACTGGAAAATACTTGCTGGGGGGGGGAATGAACTTTTTTCCTCTAGAATGGAAAAAACTAGATTTTGAATTTATTTCATTATATCTACATTTTATTCATCTTTCGCTCTGATATTACGAATTTAAATATTTTTATTTTGCATATAATTTAATTAGCCCCATACTGTGTTTGCCATAATTTTTTTTATAGTTATTTTCATTTTTTTCTGTGAAATCTGCTTTCACATCTGTGAATGGTATTACAAAATTGAATGTCTTTCCTCTCCTGCTTTCTTATAACATTTCTATTTTAGTTTTTATCTGGTCCTTTTCATGTTACAGTGTAAGAAATGAACACAGTATAGGTTCAAAAAGAATTATTTTCTCATTTGAAAATGATGTAAAAATGGTAATGAACAGTATATGCCCAACTGCTGAAAAAGGAAACTAAACATTAATTAGTTAATTTTGCATCATGACATATTAATAGAAGTTCATATAGACCTAATAAAAGCTTTTATTGCAAAAGTGGATGAACCTTCTTTTTCTTCCTGAAGAAACTAAACCTAGGCACAAACATATTTTTATCTTGATTATTACAATTTGTTTAAAATTAGGTGTGCTTTAACCTAGCCACATATTTTCTTAAAAGTTTTTCTTATATCTTCTTTTTGATGAAATTCAGTATCTCTAGTTTTATTATGCTGTAGTGTATCATAAACTTGTTCTTTTCATCTGTTACATAATAAATGTAAAGATAATGTTCATTACATATTTAGAACCTAGCGTTAATAATTTTTTCAGCAAAAATGTTTCTTTTGTAATTACTTTCTAGGATAAATTGTATTGTTATCTTTAAGAAGCACCCTCTTAATATATTTTCATTTTCTCCATAATTCTTAGTTGAAATTGAAAAATTTGGATTGTGTATCATGTGTATTCCAATCCCCGAGTAGTTAGAATTTAAATTTGAGTGTTATTGTATTGTAAAAGAAGATTAATGTGGAAGAAATCCTAATTAAATCCTTCTCACATCCTAATTAATGCTAAATCATCCTAAATAACTTTTTGTCATGGTATAGAACAGTCTTGGATCACACTGTGTTTTATAGTATTATATCTCGCAAGACATCAGTTGTAAGCATGTTTTTCAGTGGATAATATAAACTTCATAATTAATCTTTTTGGAATTTTATGCTTATTTTCAGTAGATAAATTTCAAATTCTCAGAAGTTTTTATTCTGATAGAAAGGCTTGGAATATGTAAATTAATTTTATTAGCAGAAAAGAAAAGAAAGAAAAAAAAAAAAAAAAGGAGATTTATTCAGATATGTGTTTTTAATCAGAAATTTTATACTTTTTAGGAAATGGATAATAGTGTATATTCACCAAGCAGCTCAGAGCGAACTAATGATAGTTTTTCATCAGAAAGTAATAGTAGTTTCAGCAGTAATGGAATAGCTAATGAAGACAGAAAAAGTCCAAATTCTGACACTGGTAAGTTTTTATTTCAGTTTCTTAAAACATAATCTTTACTTCATTATTCTTTTAAATTCTTTTTATCCGTGATTATGATGCAGAGGGATTTGGAAATAATTGTTCAGTTTCAAATTTTTACTTTTGACAAAATTAAATTGCAAGTTTTATATGAATGGGAACGGAAAGTTGTAAATTTTAATATATAAATAATAGAGAGGGAGTTACTTTCTTTTGGAGTGAGAAATGAAAATTAAGTTTGAAAAACCTGAAAGAATTTTGCATGATGTCACTACATTGCAGTGGACAACATAATTTGGATTCTTCTAACATCTGGCCTTCAATATGTTATTACCAATGGATTCTTTCTCTGATAGACATATAAAAGAACTCTTATTTATTTGTGCCACCTGAGTATACAAACCTAAATGAATTTTAAAATGCATTTATGCTGTTTTAGAAATAATTATTATTAAATTTTTTAACACAATAGGAGAAATTTTTAGATTATCAAGTCATAGCTGCCACTCGCCCTGTTTTTCATCACATCTTCTAGTCTACAAATAAATAACTAGATTTCCTGTTCTTCAGTTTTCAAAATTTATTAATGAAAATGTTGCAAATTCCATTTTCCCACCTCTAATTATTCTTAGAATAGTTTCTCTTATTAAATTATACGGTACTTTTCCATTTTGCCGGCACAGGCAATAAAGTTGCTAAAAATGGTAAAACCGATGCCAAACAGATCCTTGCTGATAACCTTAGCACCGTACTAAGCATGCTGCCTTGTGTGCTGTAGTGAGCAGAAATCAGGTCTTGAGCAGCATATGGCTTGGCTAATGTGAGACAGGGTTCGTAGCGGTTCTTGCAAGTGCTTATGAGTTCTTATATTTGAAAAAAATATATATATAGGTGCTTGCTTTTTCTCTAAAGTAAGTTTTTTTTTTTTTTTTTTTTTTTTTTTTTTTTTGTAAACCAACGTGTATTTTTTCCCTATACTAAAGCCAAAAACAACATTTCTTCCTTATCTGGAATGTCAGATGGTGAATCATACTCCCGGAAATAGCTTTTCGCCGCTTTCCCTGCATTAATGTAACCTTAGGTGCACATCGTTCTATTGGATAAAGAATTACGAAAGCGGTATAAAATTCCAGTACATTTTGCATTCTTTCTTTTCCTCCCACCCAAAACTACATACGTTTGAATTTCTATCAAGATTTTAATAATTTGCATTCTTGTTCTGCTTGGTCAGTTCATATTTGTGTTTATTATTATGATCGTTTATTATGAGCATATGTATGAATATTTATAATAACATATTTGCAGTAATTGCTGAAGTATAGATAAACTTCAAAAATGGGTGTGTTTTAACACAGATTAGCTTTCTAAGGAATAATATTTAGAATGGCTTAAATAAAGTGAAATTAATCAAATGGTCAAAATAATCCCCCCTTTTATTTTGCAAATGCATTATACAGTATGGAAGTTGGGGGGGGGGGGTCCTCTCCTTTCTCCACAAAATCTCGAATATTGAAACTGTTATAATTCGCAGCAAAACAAGCAATGGACCCTTTTTTTTTTTTTTTTTTTTTTCCCTTTTTTGTTACTTTCTAACTGGATTGAATAGGATTAGAAGTTCTGCGGTCTACCAACCCAAGCGAAGAATGATTCTATTCCGGAAATGTAACGCAGTCTGTTCAAAATTAGAATGAAAAACATCCCAGATTAGTAAGTCTCTTTCTTTTCCTTTATTTAGTTACTTATTCTCCGAATATTGGCAGCTGTTGATTCCGATTGCATAATATCACTAAGGCGCGTGTATTGCACAACAACGTTTGCGAAATTTTGCGGAGATAATTGATATTCAGTCTGAGATTTGTTTATGAGCACTTAAAAGAGTTTTACTGTGCTTATAGCACAGGAGCACTAAGCAGGATATTTTTCAGTTCCTTTGGGCTATTTTTATATGATTCACATATTGAAATGTCAAAAGCATTATTTAGCCAAGAAAATCTTAAGGCCCATATCACACCACGTTTGTTTCACTCGAACAACTGTTTCGGACAATTTTTTTACTAGTTTACTATTGAAAGAAGGACGTGCGACTTTTTCTTTCCTTTCCAAAAAAATTGCAAGTTCTTCGTTTTCAACCAGTCAGCTATCAGCTTGTTTATAATGGGGAACCAGTTTTCCCTGTGTTAACCCCAAAGCAATCTATGGTGATTGGCTGTTGTGACAAAGCAGAAAAATTTTTCCAAACAGTTGTTCTTCCGAAACAAACCGCCATGTGATAGAAGCTTAAGAAAGGCTACAATCTATCCCCTTCTTTTTCCAGTTAACGCTCGACTAGCCGGAATTTTCAGATATTCTACAATTTCTGAGTATGTCGTTTAGGAAAGCTTTTGCTGTTTAGGATAGACTGCATGAAGCAATTTCCCATCTTCTGATTTCAGAAATGTTCCTCTTTTTACTTATTTTTATTTAAATTACTTTGCTTACAATATCTGTTAAGGGGAAGCTGTTATACAATGAAAATTTAGAAAATGTTCAGAATTTTGATTTAAGTTAAATTATTTAAATATTAATGTGAGTGGAAAAATAAATTGTATTTATTTTTAGATGCCAAGGGGGCAAAAAATTGTTTTCCATGATTGAGTAATTCTCATTCTCTCTTAATAAATACTGAATTTCTCATATTTTAAATTACAAGTTTAATTTTTAAGGTTATGCAGTTGTGTATAATGTAATTAAACAGGTGCATATTTTTTTTTTCATATAATGAGCTTGAAAAGTGCTTATTTTTTTAACTAAAATGTGGCTTCTAACCCTGTGGGAGCTGTTGAGCTGTAGCAGTCTTGTATCACCGCCACACTGAAAGTAACAATGAAGCAAAATTGTTATGTGTGCTGGTCAATGTTGTCCAGGTCTTCTTTATATGGATTCAGTGTCCTGAAACTGTAGGTGACATTGGGCGTTTCATTGAGCTCTGTAGCCGCCTGCACCTGTGGTTGGCTTGCCTCCAATCTACCAATATTTCTTCATCTCATTCTGTCATCATGTGTTCATAGCTACCCATTATTCGTCATACCTTATAAAATTTACCATACTTTTATAAGAAACATGGAGTGAAGGAGTAGAAGCACACATATTGGCAAAAGCCCCTCATATGGTTATATCCCCTCTTCCCATTATCACAGCTACACAGACATGACACACATTTATGCTTATATTTTACTGTAAATTTGCATAATTTTTCTGCAACATAATTAGGACCTTCGTTTCTGTAATTTTCATTAAAATAGATGTAATTTGGATTTCTTAATTTTGCACATGAATGTATTTAATCAGAGTAATATTTTTATGGCATTTTATTGATCCTATTAAATTTTTTATGACTAATCCATTTATTAATTTTATTTACTTCAACGTATTACATTACTAAGTATATCCACATAAATATTATGTACGCTGAGTATTAATTTTATTTTCATTGTATTTAAAAGTACTTTATAAATAAGTTATCTTCCACTACTTTGTATTCTCTCATTATGAAGATGTAAGAAAATTAATCTGTTTATTGAATGTCGTACGCTGACCAGTATGCATGCATTACAAAGTGAATTAAAGTCAGTTTGCAGATCTTTTGAAATTGCTTGGCAGCATGGTGGCAGAACCTCGCGGTTTTCTCTCAAAAATATTCCAGCTTGTAAGATTTCAAGGTTGGCAGCCGGGCCATGTCATTTTACATTCTTGTATTACTTATCATTCTATATTATTTATGATAAAAATTTAAAAGATTGGAATAATGATTAAAAAATAAAATTTGAGTGAGTTATTTTGTATTAAAATAAAATAACCTGAGAAAAAATCACCCCAACAAAAAAGTGTGCTGTAGCTCAAGAATCCTTTAAAAATTTTTTTGATTGTTTTCATACATTTTTGTTAATTGTTTATTAAGAACATTGGTTTACTATGTTATTCTATAATAATTACACTGGTAAGAGGAGGATTATACTCTGACTGAAAAGTATCTTTAAACTTTTGCCTGATATTCAACCCTATGAATTAAGTTAGAAAATCATGCATAAATATTTTTATTTATTTTTCCTTTGTTACAGATGATGACTCTTGGGATCTAATTACTTGCCATTGTATGAAGCCATTTGCAGGTCGTCCTATGATTGAATGCACAATGTGTGAGACATGGCTTCATATGTCTTGTGCCAAAATTAGGCGCAATAATATTCCTGATGTTTTCATTTGCCAATTTTGTCGAGAGGCAAAAAGAAGCAAGCGTCGTTCTGAGAGGATACGCAGTGATGATCGGAGATTGCTTAGTGCATAAGTTAAACTGTCATATTTTATGTTAATAGACATTTCCTTGTCTGTAAATAGATTTTTATGTCATGTCAGTATCATCGTTTCTGTTCCATGCTGTAATTAAAAAGTGCCAGCCTATTGAAAGTGATCATATAATGAGATTTGTATTCCAAAATACATCTGGAATGTGTTTTTATCAGAATATTGTAAAGCATCGTGAAAGATTCAAGCCATAGCTCAGTGTTTTTGTATGAATATATGTAAATCGAATTCTTTCTGAAAGTTCGTTGATTTGCATTGTTTTGAATTTTTAAATTACTTGTTATATGTTTTGTTATGCTTTTATATATGCAAGGAAAGTATTTACATTAAAAGATATTTAGTATAACAAATGTAAATTCTTTTATGTTATGTTATAAATATCAAGTATGTTGAAGTATGTTTCAGCAGTGTTAAAAGTGGAGTGAGTATAGCATGCAATAGCATTGTTTTTGTAGAAATGTTGCATTTTGCTTACAGATATAATTTGGAAAGTGCAAAGACTTTATAATATTAGTATTGTAGATAAAATAGGGCAGAAATATATCATTTAATGTTCGTTATAGTTATGCAAACATCGAAGTTCTGTTTAAAATTCACAATTTTCTTTTACATATTAAATTCAATTAATTTATGAAGTCAATATGTTTAAAAATCTGTCCATATTTTCTTATTTAAAATTTTAAATAAATTATTGCATGTGAAAATGGTTTATTATTGAATGATTGAATAATTCAGCTATATCCTTCACTTCTGAACATTATTTTCAGCATATTTGATTATTACTCTACATGTTTAAATTCTTTACAGCAGAAAATGCTTTTAAAGCTCCTTATTGAAAGAAAAAATCTTTTTTTAAGGGTCAGGTGATGTTCATTTGGAAAAGGGGTACAGTAGATGTTATTGTAGGAAGTTATATTGATTACTGTATCACTGTTAAGAGAATGATTTTATTATTCTTAAATTTAGTTTAATTACACAAATTAAAGTTTTTGAGGTAACCGCTGGTAATAACTGTTACTGAATGCTGCAGTGATAATATACAATTTAAATAAATTGATTTGTCGGTTTTAAATAATTAACAATGAAGTTTTAAGTAATTAGTTTTTTTGTATGAAAATTTGTTATAATGGTAATGAAAACATACACACATCTTAATTAAAAACAATATAATGTGAAATTGGTTAAATGATTAATTGTTACTTAAATCAAGCCATTTATTAGAAGGCAATTCTGGATTAGAGAGTTTTTATGCAGCCTTTTTCTGACAAATGAACATTTGTTAAGTATTTTGATCAAAATTTAGGAATGCTGTAGACATGCACTTTTATGAATCTAATTTACAAACAACTGCATTGGTCTTGAAAAGTCTTTTTAATATTGGCCCATGTATGAACTTCAGTGCGGTAAACTTATTTTGCAACCTTTATGAATTAGTAAAATTTAACCTTCTGTATAAAATAATAAAAAAAAACATAATTATTAGAAATTTAAAAATAAAGTATAAAATTAAAAAATATAAATATTAACTTTTGGGTTTGTATGCATGTAAGCATTTTGATAGCTTTAAGTGTATCTCCCCTTCCCAAAAAACCCCTGCCAAACACTATTTACCTAGTTAGGCAGTTTAAATTGAAATGAAGTTCCTATAAAGTTGAAATGTAGGAAATGAACACTACCAACACTAGCCATATGTCTGGTGTGGAATTAAGAAAAGAAGCACATTGAAATGAAAATTGCTACATTATACATGTTCCCCCTGTAAGTATTGCATATTTTACTTCCTCAGTTTATAAATAATAATGCATAATTATTGTCTGATTCACTTACCTCTGTTTTGCATTTCTATATAGCCACAACGGCTTTAACCCTTTGGCAGTTATGAAATCAATAAGTTCTTATTTCTCAAATATGTGCAGTATCTGTTAGTCGTAAATTTGTTTTGAGACTTGTGTTCGTCTCTGCCCGTTGTGGTACTATTGGTCTGAAGATAAAAAGATTTCATTTGGGGGGGGGCACAGGCATTCTAATTAACAGAAAATGCTGAATTAGGCGAAAATAAGTTTTCTATTGATGTGATTTTGGAGCACTGTATATTTTTGAAGGAAGTGGTCATCAGGTCTCTCAAAATGGCAAAATTTGTTTTATGAAACAAACCTGATTCTAATGTTCACTGTGTCTGATTTGTTAAAATTGATATTATTAAAGTACTAGCAGCTTCGCTGCCAGCCTTCGTCTGGTTTTTAAATGTACCGGAAAAATGGCTGAAGGGAACACGTTAAATTTAAAAACTGCTTAGAATTTTACTCTGTGGAACAACTTCATGAAAAAAAGTTATTACGTATAACGAAATTACAATGAAATAAGCAATATCCCTTAATACAAATATTAATTATCCTAATAAATAAATTAACTAACTTCCCTTTGCAAAATCTTAAGAACTTTGTTTCCTAAAAAAATCACTCAAAATCAAATCAATCAAACTTTTCAATATCTTGGACAGTGAAATGAGCAATAAACATAAAAGAATACAAAAAAAAAAAAAAAAATCTGAAAAGCAAAGTGTAATTAATGATATTTTATCTTATATTTCCAAGAGAAAAAAAATTACAATGAAATAAGCTATATCCCTTAATACAAATATTAATTATCCTAATAAAAAAATTAACCAACTTTCCATTGAAGAAAAAAATGAAAAACTTTTCAATATCTTACAAAAAGTGAAATAAGCAAAAATTAACATGTGTAGCGTTGTGACCATGGCTAGCTGTAAAGTTGTTAAACAAAACTGGTAAAATTTAAACCAGACAAACTTTAACATTTAACAAAAGGAATTTAATTAAACACAAACACTACATAAAGAAAGTTACATGACAAAACTAACAAGAAGTAACACAAAGAAATATTTCTCAAAGGAAAATAAAAAGTTCATGTTCATAGTCCTCTGCCGAAACTCAAACTAAATAGTTCGAGCGTAGGTGTTTTGAATAGCGTCTGATAAGGTGGCGCTGCAGTCTGATAAGAGGCTGTTTGCTAGCGTTCATTACAGACAACCCCCTCGGGCTCTGACGACGTCCCGGCAAAGAGTCCGTGTTTGACAGTTCAATTTTGCGAGGTCTGCCTCTTTTCTTTATGGGACTCGCAGGACCTAGGTCTTTCGATGGAGGCAGTTTATATGGTCTCATCATATTGGTATGATAAGTACCTAACACTTGATCAGGAGTAGCAGGATCTTCAATGAAATATGTAGTAGGAGATCTGTTAGTAATCGCAGACCTTCGCATTTAGGCATAAATTTTTTACTTTTCTTGTGTATGGATTTACTGATTGGATGTATAGTTATCCATACATTATCACCAGGCTGATAGTAAGTTTGTCTACGTCTTTTATCAAAGTATTCCTTTCTTTTGTCTTGTTTTTGTTCGACACGCTCCCTGATTTGAGGTGTCAAACGAGCGAATTCTTTCAGATACGGCGTAATTTCGGCAACAAAGTTGTCGTTTTCAATAAGTGCTCTTAAATCGTGATTAACGCCATCCGTCGTCCTAAGTTCTCTTCCGAATTGCAAATAAGCAGCGGTATGACCTGTAGTGTCACATATTGCTGTATTCATGGGCAGTTTTTCTTCCCAAGTATCATGAGCATCACCGACTAGTATAGCTAGTTTCAGTTTTAGATCTCTGTTCTTTCCTTCGGAAGGATTCGCTTGAGGGTGATAAACAGGAATAAGTTCTTGTTTAATACCAAGGAAGTTACAGGTTTACCATAACGTAAAAAAACTTCTTCAATTAAGATTTTTGCACAATTTTTCGCAGTGGCTTCTTCTAAGGTGAAGAGCTCTTTCCATTTTGTACTGGTGTCTTCAATAAGAAAAATCCATTTTTTTCCAGTTGGGGTTTCTGTAAGTGGACCAAAAAGGTCTATAGCAAGTGTTTCAAACCTTTGTGCATACACAGGTGTTCGAAGTAATCCAGCAGGTTTCTGGTTATTTGGTTTATACCGAATGCACTCAGCACAATTTTTCACGTATTCTGAGATATACTTTCTCATACCAGGAAAGTAATACCTGGAGGCAATTTTATGGTACTTGCCTTCAGCTCCACAATGTCCTGCAGTGGGGGAATCGTGATACTGTTGTAGGACTCGTTCTAGCTCTTGACAAGATACAACTAACTGAGCCTCTTCAGACTCTGTGTTGGAAGAGTAACGATACAAAACTCCTTGATTCATGAGATATCCTCTACTAGTCCAATTTACACAATTTTCATCTTTTTTGCCACTCTCAAAACGATATAATCTTCCTTACATCTTCATCTTTCATTTGTTCCTCACGAATTCCAGGATGGTAAATCTATAGAAACAGCATTTAAATTACAAATAAAGTCGTTATTTGCATAAGATGGTCTACAAAGAAGATCTGTTATAACATTGGATTTCCCTGGAGTGTAGACAATTTTTGGATGATATGACTGGATTTGAAGGGCCCATCGAGCCAAAGGACCAGATGGTGATTTTATACTCATTAGCCATTTAAGAGGTTGATGGTCAGATGCAATTATTATTTCTTTGTTTTCTATATAACCGAGAAACTTCTCAAGAGCCCAAACTACTGCAAGAGCTTCTCTTTCGGTAGTTGAATAATTTCTTTCTGCTGAGCTTAGCAATCGACTTGCATACTCAATCACACATTCCTCTGGGTCTTCTCCTTGGATAAGGACTGCTCCTAAAGCATAATTACTGGCATCTGTCATAATGATGAACGTTTTAGTTCCGTCAGGTTGAGATAACACAGGCGGTGAAATCAACCTTTTTTTCAACTCTTCAAATGCTTTTTGTCCGGTTTCACCCCCATGTCCACTGTTTATTCTTTTTGGTTACTAAGGGATCTAGCAACTTCTGAAAACTTCTGAAAAATTAGGGACATATCTTCGGAACCAGGAACACGTCTGTAGAAAAGACTGAACTTCCTTTACGCATGTTGGTTTAGGAATTTTCTGAATGGAAGGTACTTTCTCGGCATCTACCTCTACACCATCTTCTGTAATCCAATGACCTAAATGCTTTACTCTGTCACAAGCAAAATGGCATTTGCTCCTGTTAGCATTTAGTTTAAACACAAAGTCTTTTAAATACTTTCCTCAATCTGATAAATGTTTATCAAAGGTTTCTGATAACACTATGATATCGTCGAGATATGATAAGGCAAAAACAATACTTTCCTCAATCTGATAAATGTTTATCAAAGGTTTCTGATAACACTATGATATCGTCGAGATATGATAAGGCAAAAACATCTTTTAACCCTGATCTAAATTTATAAGTCGTTGAAAAGTTGCAGGTGCGTTCCGCAACCCGAATGGCAATCGTCAAAAACTTGAAAGTACCAAATGGACACACAAAGGCAGTTTTCTCTTGATCTGCTTCATGAACTTTAACTTGATGATGATAACCTGATCTTAGGTCAATGCTAGACATGTATTTCGTTGATTTTGCTTCAGTTAGCAAATCATCCATTCTTGGTAATGGATAGGTGTCTGGAACGGTTTGGGAGTTTAATTTTCGATAATCTATAGACAGTCTTATGGAACCATTAGGTTTAGGGACCAACACAACAAGACTCGCATAGTGTGATTCGCATTCCTCAATGATACCCTGAGCTATTAAGGAATCTAGCTCCTTTTTTAACAACTCTTTCTCCGCGGGTGTCTTCTATATGGTGGTTCGGCAACAGGTAAATTATTTCCGGTCTGGATTCCGTGCTCAATATAAGGAGTAGGCTCTCCCCCCCTGGCTGAAAGCTAGTTTTATATTCTTCTAACAATGAATTTAATTTCTTCCGTTGTTCTCTCGTCAAATGTTTTCCTTCATCATCTTTCAACTTCACGGATTCGGTTGCTTCTGGTATTGCAGCAGGAGTGTCAGCAGACGTTTTTGTAACTTTCAGAGATGTTAGTACGTTTGGAGTCTCTTTAGCTTCAGATGGTTCTTTGTAAAAGGGATACTGCTTCTGTGGATTTTCACTAAAATACCAAGTACCATTCTGGATGTTGAGCACTATTCCTGCAGCCTGTAGAAAATCAGTTCCAAGTAACGTCCTGTTACCTTTTGCTTTTGGCAAAGCAATAAATTTCATACGGACTGTCTTTCCTTCAACATTAAGATTTACCACTGTTGTCAAAGCTTGAACATTTCTTTCTTTGCCATCAGCTAGTACCATCGTAATATTTGTTGTTTTAAATCTAAAATCCTCGATCTCGTAACAACTTATAAAATCTTTCTCCTGCAATAGAATTCGACGCTCCTGTATCAGCGCAAAAAGCTGCTTTTTCACCACAAAAAGTTAAAAAAATGGAACTGGACAGTAGATCGGATGATTCAACTGTATATAATTTTACACGATTGACGAGTTTTAACTTCTTCTTTTAACTTATTACACTTAGGGCACTTTGACTGTATGAAACGGGATATCCACAACCATAGCAATGAATAGAAGTTTTCCTTTCTTGTCTAGAATTAGTAAATTTTGAATTGTCAACGTTTTTGTATTTTTAATCTGGTTAACGTTTTTAGGATTACTATTTTTTAGATTTTCCTTCTGGAACAAATTTAATATTTTCTTTACAATATGGTTTCTTTGCATTGGAAGATCCATTTTTCTTCATGCCAAGTCTTACATTTTCATAATAATCGAGCTTTTCTGCGAGCTCTAACGGATTGTTCATTTCTGATAAACTGTCCACAAAATGTTCTCTTACCTCGGAAGGTGTTCTTTTCTTTATCTGATCTGCAATGATCAAGTTTTGTAGCTGCTCGAAACTAGAGATATTCAATTCTTTAATCCATCATTCAAAAGCAAAGTCCTTCCATATAATTTCTGCAGATTTTCCTATGCTGAGAAACACGTTTGTCGAAACCTATCAGCTGTGAGTCTATATCGCTTCAAAAGCATAGCTTTTACTTTTGCATAATCTTTAGAATCCTCTTCGTTTTCTCTAACAACTAATTGATTTATTAACAATCAGATGGTAAAGATGGAATCAATGGTAATGGATCCAATCAGTTTCAGGTATATTTACGAACTTCAATTGACGCTCAAACATGGTCAGATAAAGTCCTATCTCATCTTCCTTTGGGTTAAACTTTGGAAGAATGCGACTCAAATCAAATTTAGGTCTGATCTACTTGAGAAACAGATTCCTTTGGGCATATTCTTATTAACTTCAAGTTGGAGTTTAAACTTTTCTAATTCAAACTCGCGTTCCTTGGCTAATCTTGCTTCTACTGCTTCTTTTTCCAGCCCTATCTTCAGCTTCTTTTTCGGCTTTTATGCGTTCATCGATTATGTTAACTTAATATATTTTTGTAAATTCTTCATCATAGGTTTTAGAACTCGTTATCAGATCTCTCAATTGTACAACTTTTAAGTTATCTGCAACTTGTAATCCAAGCTCTAAAGCTAGTAATTTAGGTCCTCTTTGCGGCCTTTGCCTAAATAAGCCATCTTGAAGGGGATTTATGTAAAGTTTTTTTCTTTAAATAGTTGAAAAAGTCTCTATTCTAATTTAATATTGCTCACTGGCAGAATAATATATGTAAGTTTAAGCAATGAGAGTTTAATTTAATAGCAATACTTTCAAAAATTCCATTTAAGCAATATCAAAATTCACAGAATTCTAATCATATATTACTCTTTACACATTCGTATAAAAATAATATTTTTTATTTTACCAAACTGGTTTTATTGAGTTGCCAACATCATTAATCTTTCACTCTTAAAATAATGAACGTGAAAGCATATTAATACGACACAAATTCTAAATAAAAGTTATTTACGAGTGATATCTTTTGTTCAAGGACAAATCTTTATTTGGCAACAATCTCTCAGATGGAATAAAATACATAACACTTATTTCAAAAGCAAGTTTTGTTTTCAGTTATATTATAATCATTTAACAAGATAGAATCAAGCTTTAAAACTTATAAACAATATTAATGCAAATATAAAATCATTTCTACATAACATTAACAAAGAACTACTTTTGCTCTTTTTCTTTAAAAAAAAATACGGATGTACCACATAATTAAAGATACATATTTATTTTCTCATAACTGAAACATCGTGGGTTGTGATAATATAATTTAACACCTTCTAGTTTCCGATATGATCAAAATACAATCTCAGTTAAGTACTGTTTCGGTTAATACTCAAATATTTATAAAATAAAACAGACTTTCACCCTATGTTAAATTATCACAATGAATGAAATTTTACACGAAATAAATCTCCTACCTATTGTGTAACTGCTTCACACTAAAACCAAGGAGTTTGGATTAATCCTTCATATTTCGAAATGGATATTCGAAATTGTTCATATCACCAGAAAAAGCTAGAGAGGTAGAAGAAAAAATTGAGCTCGCGTTTCAGTAAAGAGTACGACTTTTTTATTTTAAAATAATTTTAAATTTTCGAAGCCGACCGTTGGGCAGCCATTTTCTTTTATGTAGCGTTGTGACCACGGCTAGCTGTAAAGTTGTTAAACAAAACTGGTAAAATTTAAACCAGACAAACTTTAACATTTAACAAAAGGAATTTAATTAAACACAAACACTACATAAAGAAAGTTACATGACAAAACTAAAAAGAAGTAACACAAAGAAATATTTCTCAAATGAAAATAAAAAGTTCATAGTCCTCTGCCGAAACTCAAACTAAATAGTTCGAGCGTAGGTGTTTTGAATAGCGTCCGATAAGGTGGTGCTGCAGTACATGAGGCTGTTTGCTAGCGTTTGTTACACATGAAAGAAACAAAAAAAAATTCTGTGCAGAATTTTACTCTGCAGAACAACTTTATCAATAAAAATGTATTATATACATAAAAAAAATAACAATTATGCCAATCTCTTAAAAACAGTGACATAAGAAATACAATGAAAAATTGTTGCCAAGCCCATATTTCTAAGAATGAAACTATTCAAAATGATGCGATTTCATCAAAAATCTTTTAATAACAATAAGAAAGAAAAATTGTTGCCAAAATCACATTTTTAAAGATGTGAGAAGTGTACTCGGAAGCTTCATTTAAAAATACAAAATATCATTTTTCCAAAAATTCTTTTTGTAAAAGCAGTTGCAAGGAGGAAAGTTTAACATGTCCAAAAATCAAAGAAAAATAAACTTTTTTTCAAAAGGTGTTAAGCTCACTTTGTTAAATAAATTTGTATTTAATTGA